CCCCTCCAAACTGTTTTCTTCCATAACTTTGAAGACCTTCATCTGTCTAAACTTGTTTCTTTTATAATTTGAAGGACTTTCTCCCTCTAAACTTGTTTCCTCTGTGAGTGCTGCATCGTTGCATAATGAAGACTGTCAACTCAAACAGCAGGGACGTCGCGGCGTCTCCCACGAGCGTGGCCCTGAGCTGGGCGCTGGGCGCCTGGCTGAGGACACGACCTCCGAGCTGAGGTGCCTCCCAGGTGATGAGAGACCAGAAGTGCTCACAGATACTTCCTAGTGTTATGAGAAAACATCTAGATGGTGGCAGCCACACACAATTCCCCAAGAAAGTCCCTGGCAGACATTTCACTCTGTACAGACTTTATGGAGGAGCCTCCGTGTTCCCCATTAGGTGACCGGCCTTAGGACAGCCTCATTCTCCTTGATTTGATTTTGTGTCTGTACCACCAACTACAGTCTCTGGACATATTTCTAAAGTGATCGTGAGGTTTCCTGTGTGATGTAATTATGTAAAATGTTAAAGCTCTTCAGCCAGACATAGAGGGAAATAGCATTTTAGATGCAGATTTTCCCGGAGATGTCAGAGAACAGGTCATCTGAGAATGGCCTGGGAGGTTCCGAGAGGAAATAGGTTGGGTCGGGGGGATGTGTCCCGGAGGGGATTGAGGAGCAGACAGTGGCAGGAAGGAGCCTTGAAATCCACGCCAGGCCAGATCGGGAAGGGCCTGCACCCAGCACACGGAACCCAGAGAAGGCGCCCGGGACTTCCGGGGTTCCGCACGGAAAGAGCTGGGCAGTCGTCTCCCCTGCTCCGTGCACCCCTGTCCTCAAGTGTTTCAGCTTCTGGAGAGAAACAGGAGGGGGACGGGAGGAGGGGCCCCAAGCCCAGGAAGGTGTCCCAGTGCTCGGCAACACTGAAAGAAGATGAGGCTGATGGTTACAAATGAACGTTGATGAACCAGGAGGTTTCTGCATCACCAGGCTGACCCAGCACCACCCCCAGTGAGGGCACGCCCCCGGAATGGCACCAGGAACAGAGATGAAGAATGTGTAAGTCCCAGCAGAGCGCTTGGATCTGCAGCCCCGTCAAGAGGGCCGGGACCCTCCTCCAGCTCACTAATCTCTCACCACCACGCTGCGTGTCACATGGCAGAAAAGTGGGGCCTTAAGTGTGGACTAGGGAGGGTTTTTTCCAGACCAAGGAATTTTATGAAAACTCCACAGATTGAAAGCTTCTGTTTCACAAAGAGGTCTCTCTAAAAACCATGTTCAGTCCTAATGTGGATTTATGACGCAGAGGAAAGGACCAGGTGGCCCTAAAGAGACACTGAAGAAGCAAGTCCGATGATAGGGGTCAGATTCCCTGAGACTCAGAACTGAAGCAATAGCAGTGTGACTCAGAAAGGGGTAAGAGGTCCTGGGTGGGGCGGTGAGGGTGGCGGTGACCTGCCCAGGAACGAGATCTGGGGAGGGAGGACCCAGGGTGGACCTCCCACAGCCCAGTGGGAACAGGGAGTCCGGGGGACGCACAGGCTGGGGTACGCGGGGCGGACGTGTTGGGAGTGACGCCAGGGAGGGAGCCGCAGAAACAAGAAGGGAGGCAGACATAATTCAGAAGCAATGTTAAAATTCAAACTCATGTTTCAGACGTGTGTCTCTAAGCCAGTGGTGAAGACGTGTGCTACCGTTGCTTGTATTTCCTTCTCAGGACTGTCTGAACCTGACTTCCTGACAGCAGTTACATCTATTTGCTCCACAGAGTTGGTGGGCAGATTCCAGAAGACACTGCGTGTCACGTTTGTTAAATTCAGTGAGACGTGATGGGAAGCTTGGTGAACATCTGTCTCCACCACTGCTGATAGGAAATACCACCCCTGACTTTGCATGTCACCCACTAGGCCCCCAAAGAGAAACCTCCAGACTCATCACTGTGCTGGAGATGTGGTGGGTGCCGACGTGAAAGGGGGCTGATTACGTGTCCAGCCAGCATTTCTCAAAGGCAGCACGGCTGACAAGTGGGGTCAGATGGCCATTCCTGGTGTGGCTGCCTGGACACCTCCCACTAGAGGCCAGCTGCGCCTCCCTCAGAGATGGCAAGAAAAGTACCTCCAGGGCTGCTACTTGTCCTCAGGGGGCAGTGCCCACCAGCTGAAGACTGGTGTCACAGACTCATGCAGCCAGGAGGGCATAAACCATGATAAGCGGAGGAGGACAGAAAAAATCTCTCTGGGGTGAATCTAACCTGGCCTGGGGAATACAGGGAAGAGCATGTATAGAAATGGAAGTGAAAATGGTTCACCAGCTACGTCATAGAATTTTCCAGACCCAGCGGAGTCATTGTCGCCATGAGAGTTTAGGTGATTCCTGTATCCCCCACCACCCCCGACCCCCATCTCCCGGCCGGAGATTACCTGCTCCATGAGCAGAACCAGGACCCCGGGGAACCGTTGGGTTCCCTGGCCGCATCTCAGGCAATAGTGCACACATCCTGACACTAATTGCTCTTGTTAATTATATGACATATGACTTACATACATGATATCGATCGTATGTTAATGTTGTGCATACGGCGAGGTTCCAGGACACATTCACCCTGAGTTTGTGGTGATCGGTTATCGGAAACCAAGACACCTGTTTCCTCAGAAGCAGCGTGTCTTCGCTGCCCGGGCTGATGACTGGTGACTCTGCCCCCAGGCCCCGCTGGGCGAGAGCCGCTTTCCCTCTGCTCCAGCCGCCAACAGTTCTCTGAGCGGGAGCCCCCCACCCTCTGCTCTCAGAGCCTCAGAGCCATGCCGGGGGCAGGGCAGCTGTGACCCAACTCTGAGTTGGGGAGGCGTGACTGAGGAATCAGGTGAGTCTGAGCCAAAACCCCAGAGAGCCCCGGACTGCTGCTGGCTCGGCTTCAGGTTGCTGCCTGAACCACCATCCAGAACAGAGTTCCTCAGGTAAACAGTGCGGTTCTCCGCACAGAAAAGCCACATCTAAATCCCCAAGTCCTCAGGTGGTTTGCCAGAAGTTTCACCTTCATTTTCCGTTCGAAGGATTCCTTAACTAAAGAAACCCCTTGTTCTGTTCAGCTCAGCCACTGGGTCATGGCCAACTCTTGTGACCCCATGGACTGCAGCACGCCAGGCCTCCCTGTCCATCACCAACTCCCGGAGCTTGTTCAAGCTCATCAAATCGGTTTTGCCATGCAACCATCTCATCCTCTGTCATTCCCTCCTCCTCCTGCCCTCAATCTTTGCCAGCATCAGGGTATTCTCCCAGGAGTCACTTTTTTGCATCAGGTGGCCAAAGAATGTGAACTTCAGCTTCAACATCAGTCCTTCCAATATTCAGGACTTATTTCCTTTAGGATTGACTGGTTTAATCTCCGTGCAGTCAAAGGGACTCTCAAGAGTCCTCTCCAACACCACAGTTCAAAAGCATTAAATCTTTGAAGCTCAGTCTTCTTTATGATCCAACATTCCTATCCATATATGACTACTGGAAAAACCATAGCTTTCACTAGATGAGACTTTGTTAGTAAAGAAATGTCTGTGCCTTTTAATGGGCTGTCTAGGTTAGACATAAGTTTTCATCCAAGAAGCAAGCGTCTTTTAATTTCATAGCTGCAGTCACCATCTGCAGTGATTTTGGAGCCCAAGAGAATGAAGTCTCTCACTGCTTCATCTGTTTTCCCATGTATTTCCCAGGAAGTGATGGGACCAGATGCCATGATCTTCGCTTTTTGAAAGCTTAGTTTTCAGCCAACTCCTCTTTCACTTTTATCAAAGGCTCTTCAGTTCCTCCTGGCTTTCTAAGATAAGGGTGGTGTCATCTGCATATCCGAGCTTATTGGTATGTCTCCCGGCAATGTTGATTCCAGCTTGTGACACAGAAATAAACAGGTTTAATTCTCAATGCATTCCTTAATCTCAGCATGCAGCTATGAAAAGAGAAGACCCGGAAACAACAGAGGGGAGTACCAGCACACACATCGCCAAGTCGGGTTCCCAGCCGACATCCAGACTCCAGCATCCCTGCAAAATCCCAAATGAGGTCCATCTGGACCCCCAGCGAGGAAAGAATCCCGGGCTCTGCGTCCACCCCAAGGGTGAGACTTCACACTGGGGTTATGGGGGCTCCCATTTATAATCCCAGACTGCACAATGATATCATCATCGGCTCTGTGAAATCATCGCAGCTCGAGGTTTTTCCCTAATAGCTGCAATGCTGTTTGTTTAATCTTGAGAATCAGAAGATCCCTTACACTGGCGCCTAGCACCCAGAGGCTAAGAAATTCCAACACCCACTCGCTTTCATATCTCAAGTGCCCCCTTGACTTGCTGGTAATGATAATCATCCCTGCAGTCAGGTATGGGGTACAGGCAGGGTCCAGGGCCTGAAGTCGGTCAGAGGTATGCTGTCCTTTTTCTGAAGCTTCAGCCAGGCTACCTCCACTTTAATTTCCCAAACATGTCAAACTCGGGCGATTGTGAAAGACAGGGAGTACAGATGTGGGGAAGAATGTGAGTGGGATCACACAGGACTAGTCCTTTTGTGACTGGTGTATTTCACTTGGCGTCATATCCCCAAGGGTCACCCATGTTAGAGCCTGTGTCAGGCTTACCTTCCTCTTTTAAAGGCTGGATGTGTCTCCATTTGTGTAGAGACTACACTCTGTTACCATTTATCTCGGCACGGACATTGGGAGGCTTGCACTCTTGGCTGTTGTGAATAATGCTGTTCAAACACGGGCCTGCAAGAGTGTGTCTGAGGCCCTGCTCTTAATTCTTCTGAGGACACAGCCAGAAGTGGAATTTTGCCTCATGCGGTACAGAACCTCAGGTCTGAGAAGACGCGGGACACGAGCGCACATGGGCACACAAACACACACACACACGCGGTCTCCAACAGCCCTTTATTTGTGGACCTTCGCCAAGGTCACTGGGGTTTCAGCTCTTCCAGACATCGGGGAGAGTTGTGAGGAGCACCAGGGCGCCTCCACCACCTTATCACGGCGAGCAGAAGCGGCCGCAGAACAGGATGGCCCCAGTCTTGCCGTGCTGGATGAAGAAGAGGAAGGGCCGGTCGGCATGGAAGTGGGACACGTTCTGCATGCAGATAAATACTTCCATGGCCTCCGTGGCGGCCGCGGCCTCCGTGCCCTCCTCGGTGACCTCCACGAAGGACTTGTGCACGACCTTGGACAGGTGCAGGCCTCGCCCGTATGACATCCCGGTGAAGTCGGCGCGGAGAGCATCGAAGGCGTCGGTCATGCCCAGGTCTCGGAGGACGCCCTCCATGTTGTAACTCTCCTCCAGCGTGAACCGGGGCAGGAACACCTCCACCATCTCCTCGGCCAGCATGTCCGGCTTCGTCCATGCGATGAATTTCTCGAAGGTCAGGGCCTTCTCCACCTGGAGGAGAAGGTAGAAGATCTCAGGGTCTGCAGCAGCTGTGCCCTGGGGACCATCCCCTGTGACCCATACTCTGTGCCCTGTGGGCCCGGGGCGGCCTGCCAGCTGCACACGAGTTCCCGGAGCCCAGTGACCGGTAGGCATCCAGATGAGACCCCGGGCCCCAGGGCCAAGGATGTCCGGTTACCGTGTTCAAGTCAGTGCTTTCACTGGGCAGCAGGATGACCATGTTCATCTCTTGGCCGATGTAGGGAAGCACCAGAATCTGGGTGCTTATCTCCCCAATGTAGGTCATTTTAAAGGTGGCATTCTTGAACATCATTTGCACAGGTTTCTCCACGTTCTATAAAGGAAAGGGATAAACCCTAAGTGGAAACGAGACCCGTGGACATGCTGGACGAATCATCAGAGCCGGCCACCTGCGCACACACTCTGTCTTGTCTTCCAGACCCAGCTCAGCTCCGTGTCGTCAGCTATCTGCACAGCTCCAGCTCCCAACCCGGGTTCCCAGCGCTCAGGCCTCAGGCTTCCGGTCTCCTGCTGACCCAGGAGGGCTCTGCACGGACATTCCCAGCAGGACCTCACCCCGGCTCCTGCCTACCTGACATCTACATCTGGACGCAAAGGAGCCTCCGTGTCGGCTCCCACACTGGCGGCTCGTGTTCCTCCCCACACCTGCTCCATCTATACTTTCCCGTCTCTGCTCATGGCGACACCACTCATCCCACAGTCAACCCTGGAGTGTCCTGGGCCCCTGTCCCTCCCACCCCACAGCTCACCCATGAACAAACCATGTTGGCTCTATTTTAAAGACAACAGGGCTTCCCTGATGGCTCAGGGGTAAATAATGCGCCTTCCAGTGCAGGAGACACAGGCTCCATCCCTGGTCTGGGAAGACCCCACAGCCCAGGGGCTTCTAAGCCCTCAGGCCACAGCTACTGAGGCTGGGCTGAGAGCCCGGGGCCGCAGCTCCTGAGGTCACCGGCCTGGAGCCCGAGTTTGGCACCAAGAGAAGCGCCAGCAGGAGGAGCCCGAGCATGGAGCCCAGAGGGCTTCCGCCACGGCAGCTGCAGGAGAGGCTGCGGCCAGGGGACCTGGCACGGCCGAGAATAAACACATGCAATTAATGAAACATACAATACAGTCTGACTTGTGCTTCCTACCCCACCACGCTCAGCCAAGCCTGGGTCATCAGGAAGAATTCCAAGTAACCTCCCTGGTCCTGCACGCGGGCCCGAGGGGCTCTGGGAGAGCAGAGCCCCTGTGAGAGGCCCCGGGCTCTGCGAGAGCTCAGAGGAGGGACACAGGAGCCAGGAACCCGGGCTGGGGAGACCGCTAGGGAGGCTTCGGGACGGCCCTGCAGAGAAAGGCGTCTGTGCTGGTAACTGCTGACGGGATGGGGCGGACGGTAAGATCCAGCCCACGGAGCTTCATAGACACAGTCTCGAGTTTGACCTGGATCTCGGGAGTTCTAGGAGGCCCAGAGACCTGTGAGCTGCTCTGGGGGATGTGTGATACAAGACGGAACACCCACGGCACGGATCCCCTGATGATACGGCAAAGCAGGAGCGGGGGAGGAAGCCAGGGTTTGCCCGGATCCACCTCTGGGCCGCCACGGCCACGAGAGGCACGGGTCCTTGAGGTCAGCCTGCTCGCACACTCCATAAAGCAAGGGGACCCCAGGGACCGTTTCCAGGAATCTCCTTCCTTATTGTGAAACATTCTTATTCACCTTGCTGACGTGGAATGGCCTTCGAAAGGTGTGCTGTTTGTTAAATTGTTCAGCCCAGTTTCCTTTGAAGTAGACGGAATTCACGAGAACCAGACGAGTCATGGGGTCAACTGAATTTGCAGCGAGCAAGTCTTTAATTTTACCTGCAAAGCAGAATTAAAGAGTCAGTGAGTGAGCAGGGTTTCCTGGGGGAGGTGCTGGGCACAGTATTTACTGGCCTGTCCCCTGGAGGAGTCAGGCACTGACCAGAGGGCTCACTGTCCCCCAGACAAGCATGGACAGCGAGCTGTCTGCTCACTCGCTAAGCTGTGTCCGACTCTCTGTGACCCCATGGGCTGCCGCCCACCAGGCTCCTGCATCCATTGGATTCCCTGGCAAGAATACTGGCTCAGGTTGCTACTTCCTCCTCCAGAGCATCTTTCTGACCCAGGGATCCAACCCGCCTCTCCTGCATTGGCAGGTGGATTCTTTACCCTCGGGGGAAAGCTAGAGAAATTGATTACTGATTATATTTCAGGAGTGCATTTTGAAAGTTACAGTTATTCATAGGAAAAAGCCATTCCTGTTTACATTTGCTGGTCTTGGAAGGAACTGATGGGTAATGAGACTGATTCAAATACTACGCAATCAGAAGTACAGGCATGCCCTCACCTTCTGTCTTCTCGGCTACCCAGGTGTTTATGTGCTTCCTGGATTCCTCCGTAGCGCTGACAAAGTCCAGCTCTTCCATCTCTGCTTGGTAGAACATGCGGCAGGCATCTTTGAAAGACTAGGAGAGACGGAGTGACAGAATCACATGGCTACAGACACAGACCACGCCAACAGCTCACTTCTTCACGGCGCCAAACCTAAACACTGATCATTTGAAGGTTCCTTGTGGAATCTACAAACGATGGGAGGAATTAACCTTCAATCCAGTTTCTCAGTTTTCAGCTAACTTGAATAAATGACAGTAAAATCACAGGCTTCCCAGGTGGCACTGTGGTAAAGAATCCGCCTGCCAATGTTGGAGACGAGGGTTTGATCTCTGCATCGGGAAGATCCCCTGGAGAAGGAAATGGCAACCCACTCCAGTATTCTTGCCTGGACAATCCCATGGGCAGAGGAGCCTGGTGGGCTACAGCGCATGGGGTCGCAAAGAGTCAGACACAACTTAGCGACTAAACCACAGCAACCCAACCATTCGAGAGAGGCCATGTGGCAACAGTGCCGGCAGCACAGGTTCCGGGCTTCACCCCTGTGTGACCCTGGGAAGGCTGCTGCGTCGCTCTGGCTTCTTTGCCCCCTGGCAGCACGGACGCAGCAGTAGCTACGTCTCAGAGGTGCTCTGAGGACCAGGAGAGCCTGGCTCCGTCCGTGTCACGTGGCTGAGCTCTCCGCTCACCGTGGACCCTCTATCTCGTGGTCCAGGTGCCTCATTTCATAGAATGCTCACATCATTCAGGCTCTGCCAGCCTACTGCTCCACTTCTTCATCGGGGCTTTGGAAAAAGATGGCAGTCTCTCAGTCTAAGGAAATAGTCAGGAAGCAAAGTGGTCACCAGCAAGTCGATACCTCATCAGACCCTTGGTGATTTCAAGAGCTTTAAAGCACATCTGAAAACAAGAGCCTGCCTCTTAAATTACTGTTTAGTAAGTAATGACCAGTCAAAACACAAACTAAAGGAATATCTAATTATACACTGCAATTGGTATTGGATTGTTGGAATACTCAAACACTATGAAATAAGTGAAAATATTTCTCATCTTTCGATTTTATAGTCCATATAAAAATAACATTTTAGATATCAATGCATTTCTTCAAATATCCAATAGAAAGAAAGGAAGTTAAGGAAAACTAGCCAATTCTTTGTGTTTCTTGGAAATTTTGCTTTTCTGTATAAGAAAGATTACAATAACAGGAGAAGGAAATGCTAACCCACTGCAGTATTCTCGCCTGGAAAACTCCATGGACAGAGGAGCCTGGCAGGCTGCGTGCACGGGGTTAGATGCCTGAGCATGAGTGCATGACGGTGGAGGGAGATGGGTTGGTAACAATAAACTGGTAGAACTAAAAAAAAAAAATGACAATAAACTAGCATGTAGCTAAGACTGATAAAAGCAAGTAAACCAGGTTGTAAGAAAAACGCACACCGTGCTGCAAAGCCTTACAGATGTTTGACCTCATGCTGACGACATGCACTTTACACCACCTGTTTTAAAACAGTTAACTTAGAGTCTGAAACAAGTGTGAAAAATAATGAAAAAATCATAGAACAAGATCACTATCATAAACATATAAAAAACTCACTAAAAATAAAGACATAAAGCCCAAAAGTAAACCTACACAAAGCGCATATAAACAGGCAATTTTCAGAAAAGGTACAAACGCTTGATCGACATGAAAAGCTGCTCAGTCTGACGAACAATCAGAATGTTAAAGGCTCAGCACCCGCAGCGCTGAGGGAGGGTGGACGTGCGCACCTGCTACCCTTCCCGAGGACGACGGGAAGGGCTGCAGCCGTCGGGCCGGGAATGAGGCAGAATGCACTGAGATCTGAGAGCCTCCCTCTGTCCCTTCCTTCTAAAGTCCGTCTGGAGTAGCAGGCACGCACAGGACAGAACCACACACACATGGTCCCTGCTGGCTCGGCCCGGGCTGGGCCCCACCCCACGCCCACCCGGGGGCTGGCGGCTGCGTCTCAGTACAGCCACCCTGAGGTCGCTGCCCACCACCGTGGGAAAGGGTGAGGCGGACACACGCTGTTGGTGAGGCTGAAGCTCCCACACTGGCCACCTGATGCCAAGAGCCGACTCACTGGAAAAGACCCTGATGCTGGGAAAGATGAAGGCAAAAGGAGACGGGGACGACAGAGGACGAGATGGTTGGGTGGCATCACCGACTCAATGGACGTGAGTCTGAGCAAACTCTGGGACACCGTAGAGGACAGAGGAGCCTGGCCTGCTGAGGTCCACGGGGTCAGAAAGAGTCGGACACGGCTCAGCGACGGAACAGCAACAGACACACATGTCGTGAGATGCAGAGACTTCCTCTATGCACAGGGGACAAGCCCTATTACTGGGCGTGGGAGGGCAGGGTGTGGAAGGAGTGTGGCAGGATTGTGGCTTTGTCTGCATTTTTATATAATAAGGACACACCCACAGATTACTGAGCTGTTTATTAAAAAAATTTAAAAATCATGAAGGCACTGTAATTAAATGGAATCAGAGTAAGAAAGACAAAAACTTTTAAAAATATTCTGCATAGGAAAAGATAATCAAAATATTTACATGTATAAAAATATTGAACAAGCCTCACAATGCACAGAAAACTTCTAACATGTGAAAAACAACATCAGAAATATTCTATTTGATCACTTCTTTGTTTGGGCCAACTCATCTGCAACTGTGGTGTGATCCGTGTTAGTTCTCTGACAATCATCTCATCGAGGCTTCACGAACACGTGAACAGTGCTGTCACACGTGAACAATGCCTGCTCTTACAGGCAATGACCAGGAAGCGTGAGGTCATGACTGGAGTCCCACACCCCGCCCACCGTGTGGGTCTCAGCCCATAGGGCCTCAGCTGCGCCACAAGGCCCAGCTCCCGCCTCCACCCGAGCTCGGTCTCTATCTGCTT